CTCAAGTTATAACCAACATGAGTTTTTTATCGTAACATTGACTAATGTTTCACAAAAAAAATTGTTTTCACCTTAAAAGTTTAAATGGTGATGAAAACATTAACATGAGATGATACAGACGCCCAACTAGTTTATATTAATTTCCATATAGTGTTACTTCGAATAATCAATATTGTGATCTCAATGATGTCAATCTATATATCAAAGGTATATGACGGTCAAATGGATTGACGAAGTAAAAATAATATACTAGATAATATTAATTTATAATTAATTATTGATTGATTTTACGTCTACAAATACAGAAAAAAAGATTCATATGAATTATTAGTATTTGCTGAATGCAATGTTATTTCTGAAGATAAAAATATTATCTCTCCCACAGCCTATAAAATGTCGGGAAAAAACTAAAAGTGACTCATACACAACACATTTATTGTACTGTTTAATTTCTTCTTAAGGGAAATTATAGTTAACGAAAAACTTAGTAAAATATGAAAAGCTTAAGAACCTCATTTAAAAGTCAAAATTCAAAATGGAAAGGGAAGCCGTCAAAAGTAATCTTTTTATATATTTGTAAGTAAATCATATCGATAAGGTCTCAAGCCAAAACGTCCAAAACAATAAACTAGTACAATAACTTATAAATCAACTTATAATTATGACGAAAGTTCTTAATAGCTTACATCTTATAAGAAATTCACAAATCTTATTTTCTATTTATATGGGATGAGTTGTTGCAACCGCCACCTCACTTAAACGAGCTCACGGTTTTGATTCCCGACAATGTGTGACGAGTTGTCACAAACTCTTCTAGTTAAATTCCTCGGGTCATTGTCAAACCTACTCAACTTGCTCCTTATTCATCAACGATACGAGATTCTTTTAAAATGCTACAAATAATCCTTAAGAATTCATCATGCTCAATGAGAACTGTCCCATCAATTTCAAAACATAGCAGTTTGTCCTATATTGATAGAAAGTGGAATATGTGATCTTATAAGCTTATTTAAGTGGGTAAGTTATGACAATATGTTCTACATGAAAGTATAGTTCTTTAAAAAAAATATAGCACCAGTAAGATAAGTATGATTGACTAAAATTCGTATAATCCATTATTTTTAGGCTTACAAAATTTTGTTATGTCTCGTCTGACCTAAACAAAGTGGCTTTCTTTTCTCTAGCTTTTTCTAATCAATCAAACCTAGCTTCTATCATATCTCACATGATACTACCCTTATCAACACATCATTGTCACCATGACATTATCAATGTATGATCAATAGAGTTATTTAGGTTCGAGTCGTGCATGCCTCAAAATTTGTTGGTTGATTTGATCTTGAAACAAATAAAATAGTACATCGTTAGTGTATTCAACCTCAAGTTTAGAAAGGTACCAACCTTTTTCTTGATTTGATAGCTTGCCTTTTATGAGTAGAGTTTGAGATATAATTATCTTTAACAGTCTTAATTGTCTATGTTGAAATATAATTAATAAGAATTTTAGGTGCTAAATATTAGTGTATTCGACCACGACGATGATGATGATGATGTATATTATGTACTTTCATAAATCACTAATTTTATTTTAATTTATAATTAAAAAAATTAGAAATTGATGGATTTTAATGTAAAATTTGATTTGAAACAAGAATGTGTGTGAGTTTAACATAACGTACATAAATATTATATATTTCAAGAGAGAGAGAATGTTCCAGTCTATTATTAACAATGAATTTTGGGAATTTTCTCATTTTTGACAAGCCGATGCTTATATACAACGAATAAAGCTAACTAGGATTACTAAACTAGACAACTTTTAACCTAGTTAATAGTTACCAAATTAATAACAATTAAGGAACCAACTTCTAACTAATTAAACAGATTTACTTGTACTTATAAATAGACGAAAGCACCTCTTATGCATATTTACTATAATACAACCTACGAAAAATAAGAGGTGAGCAGCGATGTTGACAAACGTCTCTTCACGACAAGGGTAGGAATATAATATAACTTGGAAATTTCGATATCAAAAGAATCAGTAATCATATCGGTTTAACGGGGATATTGAATGAAATCAGTAGTTTCATAAGAATAATTAAATAAAACATAGCTCCATAATTGACATATAAGCTTAATTAGACATGAATACCATAAAATAAGTAAGGGGTCGTTTACCAAACACTTACCCGGTAAGCGTTTATCGGTAAATTTAACATTATCATTTACTTATCGCATAAGATTTTAGTCCACCAAAACGGTATCGTATGCAACAATTTACCCGATAAGCGCTTATCGTGGTAAGAGTCGTCGTTTTCACTTACCGGGTAAGACTCTTGGTCCTTGTATCACTCTTACCGGGTAAGATTCTTGATCCTTACCATATTCATCCGGTAAGGTAAAATGACTTGGTGTTCACTTACTCGAATAATCGTTTTGTAAACGACCCCTAACCCTACTCCCAAGTGAGATCATAAAATTATATATTGTTATCTATCAATTAATTACCTAAATACAAAAAACAGAAGTGGCAGTCAGAAATAACTTTCTCCCCAATTAAATTGAACTTTCTTGATTTGTTAGTGCAACTGCAACTGCAACTTCTAATTCTAACAAAATTAATGGGGGAAAAAGGGTAAATAAAACACTTCAAATATGAGGATTAGAAGTGGTGCATATGTAAATAAATTGGAAGAGAATATAACATCATGGAAATTAATATCACATGTTTAGTTTTGACCATTGAAAGAGGTTTGAAAAAGAGTTGTAAAAATCGATATTTCCTAAACAAATATATAATGACTACCTACGTTTTCTAATGGAGGAAAAGTGCAAAAAATTTCGATGAAACGGGACACTTAACATGATTCATGTGTTTATTTTGAACATGTATTCAATAAATATTGGATTAAATTAAATAACTCGTCCATGTAATTTACTGAAATTTTAGGAATTGTCATATATAAAAGTTCTCATAATTGTTTTTCTAAAAGATTGTATTAAAACCCTAAAATTATGAACATCAAAATTCCTGAATCAAAACTTAAAAACCCCAAAGTGGAAGCTCCTTTTCATTAAATTATATTTAAATTGAAACAATATTTTTTACATACTGTAATAATGATTTTAAATTTTTTACATATAATAATTTTTTATTAATATTAATTAAAAAAATTAATATTTTGATATCAAGATATAATAAATAATATTTTACTGAAATAGCTAAAGATAATTATTAATCAGAATATAGTATTTAGATTAATTTGTTACTTTAAGAAATTAGGGATTTTATTGATTTAGAAAGTGATATAGTGTAATTTATTAAAATTAATGTAACACCTTAATATTTTGAGTTTTATTTACAATGATACAAGTATGTTTGATAAGAAAGAATGTTTAAAATAACGTATAATCTATATAATCTCGTGTCACACTATGTCATACCGTATAAAAATAGATGATTTATAACTTTCATGGTATGGTTTGCGGTTTGTATTTTAAATTACGGTAATGTGTTGCAGTTTTGACTTGCCATACTGACCCCATATCAAAATAATTTCTATTAATAATGTTATATATATATATATACACACATAATCATACATAAAAATAAAATGCAAATATTTATTTATAATTCTATTTATATAATATATAGTCCAACTAACCCAATAATTACACCAGTTCACGTTCAACCCAACTTCCCAACCCAATGTAAACTACGGTCTTGAGTCTATGCCTTTAGACTTTTACGATCACAAATATTAAAAAACAGTATACAACCATCCCAGGTTTCTACCTTATCAATTCATAAATTCCTTCTCTCGTGATTGCAACTCATTTCATGTTCAAACCCTAATCATAAATAATTAGTACCCGACGACATATTTGTATTCAAGGTTCAATTCTCTCATCTCTTCTTATTTCAAGTTTAATGCAGGGTATGTGTTTGTGATGGAAGATGAAGTGGTGCTTTGGTTTGGCCAATTATATATACGTTATTTAACATTTACCATGTGTAATTGTTTATTCCAATCTTTATTTTCCCTTTTAACTGTACGGATTACAACTTCCTATTATATGGATCGCGATGCAAGTTGCATTAGATACAATCAACAATCCCCTTCCCCAACGTACTTTGCGATTCTCCAAAATGCATTGCTGCATGGGGATTCGAGTAATGCCCAAACCACATACGTAATACGGTATATCTATAATTTGTAACGCACCATAAACACCCTACTAATAAAATGTATATACTTTATTTATCATTGATATAAATAAATAAATAAAAGGGCATGTTATTTAAGAGAAGAATAAGAAATGGTTGAGATGGTGTCTTGAAAAAGTGCAACAAAGGGCAGTAAACCCAATGCATTTGGCATATAACATGTTCTCACAAACACGCTTCTTTCACCCCCAACACTCTCACATGCCTTTGCCTTTGCCTTTTCCCTCATTCCTTGGTCAACTTAAACACATACACCTCATTTGACCCTAGCTTTTTTAACTTAACCATCCTTTTATTTTTCCAATTTACATGTGTTTATAACAGACCCAAGAATTTTTGGATACGGTGGCATCATATAAAACGGTTGCACCTTCTAGAATAAAACGGTTGCACATTTCACGAACCTATTATTTTTTACCTTACTACAGAGGAACAATATGATGACATGTGCCACCTAACCACCCCTCTAGGTCCGTCTATGGTTTATAAACTCTAAAATTCATCCCCTCCATATAAACACAAACATTTTTAGTAACAACTTTGTGAATCATTCATATTCTTTAATTCTCCAATGGTTAATTATATAATAATGTTAGTAATTGGGATTCAAACAAAGAAGTTTTATATTAAATGCAACTTTAGAGAACATATTATATATAAATAAATATATATTACAAGTGTGAGGAAATGAATATAAAGCCAGATTGATGGAGCACCCTATATATACACATGACCCTTTCATTCCCACCACATCACCAGCTTTCTTTCACACTCTCTTCCATTAATATTCTTCCACTGCCCAAAACCAAAAGCCAAAAACAGTGACATTAACTCCCCAAAAATGGCCTTCAAGAAATCATCAAACAAGCTCTCACAGGCTGCAATTCTCAAGCATATCATGAAGAGGTGCTCAAGCTTAGGAAAGAAACAACAACAACATAATGATGACGTACCCAAGGGCCATTTCGTCGTTTACGTGGGAGAAAGCCGTAGCCGATACGTCATACCTATTTCCTTCTTGTCCCGGCCGGAATTCCAGAACCTGCTCCAACGAGCCGAAGAAGAGTTTGGGTTCGACCATGATATGGGGCTAACCATTCCTTGTGAAGAACAAGTCTTTGAGTCACTTACTTCATTGATCGCTTAAGGTTTTGCGTACGTGAATTAGAGAATATACATGATCAGCTGCTACTATAATTTCCCTTTTTTATTTTGGGTTTACTCTAACCATGCATTACCAAATTAATTTAAAGAAAACTTGTAATGGGTTTTTTTTAATTAATTTGTAAATCCTACAGAAGTTTTTCTCACCAAATGTGTTTTGGTTTTTCCTTCTGGGCTATACATACATATATATGTATATATATATATATATATATATATATATATATATATATATTGTTTGAATGTTATAATTGTGGATTTTTATGCTATTGATCTACGGAATATTTTGTTGCTTCTAGCTGTTTGATGATTAGATTTGCAGTTATTATGTAAAAAGAAACGGATTTAATTTAGGCAACTATATATATATGATGATTACAACGGCCGGATTGACTGACTTAATTAGCGGTATTAATTAGTATTATTTGGTATCTCATTAAATATCAGCTCTTCAATTTTGAATCTGATTATATGTGTAATCATTCTTTTTATGGACAATGGTCATTAACGAGAATGATTAATTAGGTTTAGTAAATTAGTTATTGGCTAATTAATACATTAAGATATATTAACTTGTAAATTGGTCACATTTAGTAAAACCAGTTGATAAGTTAAATATCAATGAAATATGATCAAAAAGACATGTCGAAAAATTAAGTGGAAAAATATGAGAACTACAAAATTTGTTCATTGTATATAGGAGCATAAACATTTGAGAACTTTTATCTTAAGAATTTGTTTCACATGATTTTTTTTCCTATTTAAGTATAGTACTTAATATATTTATTAATATACATTTGTTTCATAATGTATAAGATGTATATGTATTTGGTTTACAATGTGAAACTTTTTTTTATGTATATTTCTTCATAAACACACACAAAAAAATTTACATTGTGAACCGAATACATGTAAAACAAATATATGTTAATCACTACATTGATTCTCTCTCTCTCTCTCTCTCTATATATATATATATATACATACACACACACACACACACACATATATATATATGCATCTTTTGAGAACTCTTTAAATCATGATATTTTTTAACCAATACATCATGTGCTATTTTATATGATTTTTTTCATCTATGGCTAGAATTCAATGTATTAATTAACATATATTTGTTTTGCAATTGTTTGTAATATATATATATATATATATATATATATATATATATATTAAAATTTAACCAAACTTATAAATTTTGTTATCTTTAATATAAAATGTAACGTTCTAAACTTCAAAACACAAGCTAACCTAATAACATTCACATCAACTTGACAATCATGATAAAGATTATTGGTAACACACAACTTTAAATTTAAGACAAGTTGTTATATAAAAGAAAATTACTTTTTATCATTTTGATTAACGTTTGTTCAGATATAGGAAAAAGCATCTAATAAAGAGAATGCCACAAATCTCAAAAGTTGAGTAATTAAGTGACGGGAAGGTCATCTTTCATATCAATAGGTTCTATTTCTTGTTTACAACAATCGGTACTTGTTATAGGAGGTACCCATCTTCCATAAGAATTTCCTTGTCTGCTTTAAATGTATATACGTTAAAAAATAAAGTTGCTTTCAAAAGGATCTATCCAAATAAAATATTATGTATGTTCGAACTGATCTTTCCATCTTGCCAATAGACAAGACTTAATTTTTAACACACCTGAACTTAATTATAACTCTTAGAAGACCTATGACAAATATCCGAGGTTAAATCCAAAGAATCACCTAGGGATCCGGCTTTGAATCTGGAAACATTCTTAGTAAGTTAGTTCGTTAGAAATTTACAAGTTAAAAATAGAAATGCATCAACCGACAATTAATTACATGATACGGTTTGGAAGAAATCGAGTTGTTTACCACTTCTTGTTTACAAACTTTGTTTTCTTAAACCGCATTTGCATGTTAGAGACTCGAGTTATCGTTTGCACATCATTATCAATTAGACTATATAAAATGAAAATCTTCGGTCTTTTAAATTGACATTAGTGGTGGACTTTGCGTCTCGCAGAAGCATTACATTTATTAATAGGTAAACTCAACTCTTACCTACTAAAACGAACGTATATAGACACAAATTAAATAATTTCCTTCAGGTTTATTCAACTATTTTGGTTATTATTTAAATAATAAAAAAGCCAAAGATGGATAGCTACCATTAGAACTAGAAGTGGATTTAATTGGAAAAAGTATTTGAACAAAAAGATCGAAAAAGAATTTCATAGGTGAGCATATAATGCCAAGATTTGAATTGAGGGAAAAAAAACAAAATCTAAAGGAAATATATATAGAGTGGTCCAAAATTTATTGTTATGGCAGGTGTCCACTTAGTTGTTATGTAGCAACATCATGTACTATTATTACTCACTCCATCAACCCCACTAAGGCAATTTGATGTCTAACTCTAATAAACTAACAAACCGTTAATATCATGTGTGAAAATACAATGTTTATATAGTGTTGTTTCATAACGTTTAAGACTGTTTTGTGTGTGGAAGAAAAACAGTCATGAATGTTTTACATATAAAACAATATCATATAATTAAACACTTTATTTTCCCACATTGTTACATATATCATCAAAAAACATATAAAAACTGGTTTATAAGTTTACAAGTATTATTAAGTTTGTAAAAAAAACAAAGATTCCTCCATCAACCCTACTGCCTTATGGTAATTTGATGAAGTTTTTTATCTAAACAAAAATTAAGGTCATTTACAAAACGCGAAATGGTTTTCTAATTACCGTATTTGATTTTCTTTATTGTAGCAAATCATCATAATTATAAATACATGTCGTTTCTTGTATTTATACTTTTACGATTTTGAATAAGAAACGACATGTATGATTGGTAATTTGGTGTCTTTGTGTTTATACCTTTATGATTTGTTAAAAAGTGTTTGTACATAAAAATTGTAATGTTGTTTTTTCTTCGTCTTTTGCATAAATTATCAAACTGCTAAAATATAAAGTTATTTCACTTATTTATAGACAAGAACAAATCATTAAACCTGTTTTAGGAATAACCATTGATTAGTAAACGTTTTTTTTAAATATTTTTCCTTTTACTATTATGATAGGAGTCAAAACTCTTTGATCTTGGTTGAGAAATCTATCTTGTACGTTAACGATGGTTTTGGTTAAATTTAGATGGTATTAGGAGTATGAGTCATTTGTTTATAGGAGTGGCTTAATTATATGTGTATATATACATCCATGCACGTGTATCGTCCACCAATAAAAGAAATGGAATTTGCCTTCTATAAGCATAACTATGTTTTGCTTGATCGTTGTATTCTTAACCTCAAAGAATGATAGTCTCGAGATAGATGACCCATTTAACTTCATTCGGTTCAATCAAACGGTCCAACCATTTAAACTACAAGGGTTGGGGTGATATGACCCCTTGAAGTTTCAATTAATGCCTTGTAGGTTCACTTATCTTTAACCGGTCACCCTTGTTGCACCACGTAGTTTGATGGTCCTATCGTTGAATCATTATCTACATGTGGAGATCGATCAATCTATAGATTTTTTTTTCTAACCTCGATGCTCGATCCTTGTATTATTACTTGAAATCTGCATGCTCCATGATTCGTGTAATAAAAGTTCAATGACAAGCATTTATTTCATTCCGTTAAGCTTAATTAGATAATAAAATAAGACATAATGTGGTGTTTGGGATGCACCGTGACGGACTCACAAAGAGGGTCGCGGTGATCGGAGTCATGTAGAGTGTAGTAATCCCCTTTTCCTCTTAATTTTTTTTATAGTTGACGATTTATAATTTAGTATAAAAAATAGCAAATTACAAAATTTTCAATATCCTTAAAAATAAAAAAATATGTATGATCTATATGTACTTTTTTCTCCTTTGTATATATATATATATATAGAGGAGTGATCATATGAAAACCGCCCTCATTTGTGTAAACCGTGCAAACCACTTTCATCTATCGATTTCATTGTTTAATCTTATGAATTTTTTTCATGAAATTGTTTAATATTGTGAAATTGTTTCATATAATACCTTTTTTGAGTTTAATGAAACTGTTTCATGTATTTCTCTAAAATTAAAATAATGAAGATGATAATATATATGATTAACACCCTCCACAATAAAAATGATTAATCAACCTCTCATAATTACAAAAAAATGAACAAAATGAAAAATTATGATTGGTTGAATGCGGTTTACACGGTTTGTACAAATTGAGTGGTTTGCATTTGATCGCTCCCCTATATATATATATATTTGGTCTGCTAGTAATTAGATGGATATGCAAAAGTAATTATATAAAAGGAAGGGTCTATTTTGCCATATAGGAAAATCTTGAATCGGGAAGGTGTGGGGTTTGGAAACAGGAAACAGAAATGGTGAATCACTGAGTTGTGTTTCCAAAGTTTGTGATCACCAATATGCAAAAACTGGGGTGGGGATCCCATTCGAATCATTTACCTTCCATAGGTCAAAAACCCTAAAGAAAATTCAAGAAAAATTCGAGTGGGATATCAGAAAATAGAGGTTTGAGTTTATGGGTTTCATTCAAGTTTGTGCAATGATATAATTATTGAAAATTCGACTACGTACAATGGATATCAACTGCCGCCCATGACTGTTAGAACTGAAGGTTGTAAGGGTGCTTATCTTTGCGATCAACTGCCGCCCATGACTGTTAGAACTGAAGGTTGTAAGGGTTCAAACCCCTGGTTGACTCACTATTTTTTAGGATTTTGAAACGTTACCATTTTCCCTTTGAAGTTTCAAATTTCTACTGAATTAAAATTATGTTTTGGAAAATTACCATGTATGATGTCTAGTTTTTTTTTTTTTTTTATTAACCCGGATATCCAACCCGCTATATGAGCCGACTAATCCCAGGACGACCACCTTATTTGCAGATAGTCCGGAATCACCGCATTTGAACCTCCGTGGCTACAAGGGGATTTTTATCTCTCATTGGATTTAAACCTGAGACCTCTAAGTACTTTTAATCTTTGGAGTCAAGCTCAACTAATCAAGCACCACCGTTATGGTTATCTCTCGTTTAGGAGGGCTTTTTCCCATGCATCGTGAGAGTGTCCTTTTTCCCATGCATCA